CTGTGATGGCAGATCCTTTTTATGAAAAGGTTCCCCTTCCTGGCATCCTCCCACCATAATCTGGTTTGTGGTTGTCCAGAGGCTGAGAATGCCAGGTGTAGCTCATGGCTTGAGAAAACCTGTGGGTTGCCAGAGGAAAAGGCAAGCTCCAGAAATGGGTATGGAGTGTCTCTCGTGCTCACTAAACCCACATGCCAGGGGTGTTGTCACTCTGAGTAGCACAGAGAAAATCCAGTGTTCTGGGGCTGTGGCTGCCTCATGTTCCCCAGCACCACAGGGGCAAATGCTAGCAGAGCCCTTTTAGCCAGCATAGGCTTTCCCACTTAATGCTGTGTTTTAGCTGTCACAGGACAAGAGCAGGTCAGGTAACCAGCTTCATGTGAACACAATGTCTCTTTGTACCTACTGGCCCCTCAGGATTCAGAAACCAAAATGAGGCGTCTCAGCTCCATCTGTAAGAATTATGAATAAAAAATATATTTGTTGGAGTATAAATTGGCAAAGGCAAGCAAGCAGAAACATCATTTGAATGCCCCTTCCTTTGAACACTGTGTGCTGTCAGGCTTCTTTACATCTGGGGCTGGGAAAGCTCAAGAACAGGCACTCCCTCCTGTGTGGTGCTGTGGGTCAGAAGCGATTCTTTTTCCTTTTAAAATCATAAGAAAGAGAACCTGGCACTGAGCAGGTTCCTGTGCCCCAGTCCAGTGGTTTCCTAAAACACAGATGTCTCCTCAGGAACTTGGCAAAAGCAAACTGAGAGCAAGCCTGCTCCTCCTGTCCGAGTGCAAAAAGCTTTCTAATGTGAGTAACTCTGCCCTGCTCTTCCCCTCTGCTTCAAAGCAGGAGTGCCCAGAGCCCACCCTAAGCCTGCCCAGGTCTTGCCCTGCAGCTTGTGATTTCAGGCAGTCTCTGGGAGGTGTGTACAAGCTCCCTTTCTGTGATGCAGAAAACCCAGCTCTCCCATTCCCTGTGCATGTGTTTAGATTTTGACTTTACCTAGGGTTTAACAAGCTGTGGGCATAGTCCCTGGGGGCTTCCCAGCTGTGGGGAGCCAGGCAGTAACAGCACAGAGCAGGCAGCACTGGGATGGTGTAGAGACAGAGCTACAGGCACACAGGGTGATTTGCAACACACATGGGGAGTGTACAGTGAGGGGACATGACCCCTTGAGTAAGACAGGTAAGACAGATGAGATGTGGGATCACAGTATCTTCTTTTATCTTTTTTTTTTTTCTTTCTTTTTCAGAACTACCTCTGTGGCTCCATGTGAATACAGATTAAAGGGGAGATATCCATCAACTTGTGCACTGGCTGTTCTGACCCAAGCACTGCCTGTTTCCAGCTGCTGTTCCTCCTAGAGTACGTGCCATGAGCACATGCACTTCCAAGTCACAGTGGATTTTCTTGCTGACAATAATTGTTTTGATATAAGACAAAACATAAGAATACAATCACTCCTCCATCTTGCTGTAACATGAAATTTCAGTAATCCAAAAAGAGCAGATTTATGAGGTTGTCCAGGACATGAAAAAGGTTGAACACAATGCCAAACACTGCCAGTACATAAACATAAACCACACAAGGGCAGCAACAATAACAACATGTAGCAGAAATGGGACAATGTGGAACCATTACATCCCACTTGTTTGTATAACCTGTATGGAGAAGTGCAGAGCTCAGCCTCACACTGAATCACCCAGGCAGCATCAGGGACAGGCTCTGAGTGAGTGTAACCCCCAAAGGGCACCACTGAGATCAAGTCAGAGATGTCTCTCTCAAACAAGTCTCTGTTCCTAGACTGCTCCCACAACTCCATTGCATCTGGAAGTGTGAATTCCCTGAAATGTTTGTCATAATTATGATTTGTCAACATTTACATAAAACCCCCATTTACAAGCAAAAACAGATTAAAGTCTTTCACCACGTGTTCAAGAATCAGTCTAGCAGATTTCTGTGGTTTCTTGCATCACTTTCCTGCATACAATGATAAAATCACTCATAGGTTACTGTTCTCACAATTGATTTCATGCAGTGCTGAAGCTCCATATAAATCCTGTCGCAAGCTCCTGGAGGGAATGTTGGAATCACCTACAAAGTCTATAGCTCTAGCTGAGTTTATAAACCACAGGACATATCAGGTTCCAGTAGCAATCCCTTGGCCACCAGAATACTCAGGAAAGGTAAGTTCCTCAGCTCAGACCCAGAGCCCATCTAGGACCAAGAGAGGGCAGTGTGTCCTACAGATCCAGCCAGCAAGCTAGGAGCTCTCAAGGAGAGAAGCCTCATTTCTTCACTACAACCACATCGCATTAACCTTGTTTCTTACAGCAATTAGGCTCCTGCTATCCATCTGGGGTGCATCCATGTCTGCCTAATCCTACTTGAGCCTTTTGGGCAGCCCTGGAGATTGAGGTGCAGGCCTCAAAGGTAGGTAATTTTCCTCAACTTTTTAAAATCTGGGAGTCAAGCTAGTCATCAGCAAATCTACATGTGGAAAAGTAAAAGATAATAGTTGCACTAGAAATCCAACTATATTAATCTTGTCGTTCAGGAACCTGCGTGTTTTATAAGGTGACGCAATTTACACCTCACAGGAAAGGAATAATGAAAGCAAGTGGCTGTATCTACTTTCAGAAGAATTTTTGAGAAGTACAGAGACTAATTACTGTGTGTCTCAACTGGACTGCTCCAGGAAAAGGGCAATTCCCTCCTGCACACCAGGTTGAATCCACTCCAGAAAGGAAAAGTAAAAGCAAGAGAAGACTGAAGCTGAGTGAAGCCCAGGAGAGAGCTGAGTGCATCTGCTGTGTAGAGGAAGCAGAGGACAGGAGAGGGGGCTGTGCAGCAGGAAAAGTGCCTCTCTCCGCCCTGAAGAAGGGAGCTCATGCTGGAACAGGGAGAGCTAATGGGGAAACAGTATGCTGCTTCTCCACACCCCTGCCAGCCCCCAGAAATACAGACAACACTGAGGCTCAGAAGGAGTGGATTATTTCCAACTGCCACTAACCTGCTTTGCAGTCCTGGACAGATTCTTACCTCCTGGTAGGGATTAACCCTTAAATCTGAGCACAAGCTAGAGATGTAGGATCTCTCTGCTCATTTATAAATAGCTCACCTACACATTTCACAGGAGGGCAAATGCCAGTAAGCAGCTTTAATGGCAGCCCCAGCAATGACAACGGCCGCAGTAATAACACTACTACCTTTCTCCAGTGCATCCTTATTTCCAGTATCCATCATACTAATAGGGACAATTAAAACCTGGGAGAAGCCCAAGGACACTGACAATTAGCGACTGTAGGCCAGGCCTGAAACATAGTCAAGGATCAGTAACTACAAGTCTGTGAAACAGGCTGGGCAAGTCATGAACTGAGCACATGACTGGCACCTCTTGTCCGCACCTCATCCTCCCCTCAAACCTGTACCACATCTCACACATTTTATGCACCAGGCTGTGGCCCTTCTCCTGCCCACACACCAGGCAGAGCTTTTAACTTGCCAGTTTGGCACAGATCACAGTGTGGAGGAGAAGAGAGGTTTCAAGGCATAAACAAAACAAGCCCAACCTGGCCAGTGTAAGGAAAGTGATTTGTTACTATTAAATCACATAGGATCAACACACTGTGGTCAGGATTGCCAGTGTTGCAGACATGGGCTGTGCCATTTGGCTGGACCCCATGAGCAGACAAACATATAGGTAACCACAGCCTTCCCTCCTTCCCTCTATTACAAGACTTAGTGCAGCAAACACGTCTGTCTGTCCTCCACCACACAGCCTAGCCAAGGCCCACCCCTGAGAGAATGGACAAAACGAGTTGGATCACTGCTCTGCACCTCATCAGCAGGAACTGACTGCTCTGAAAGCTGTGAGAGACATGTGCTTGTTATGCTGGAACTTCTGACCCAAATCCTACAAGCCTTCCTACAGGGAGGTTTTGCTGGGTCATCTGATAAGCATCATCTCCAGCAGAATCGGCTCAGATGCTGCTGCTGGTTTCTTCCAACATTACTATGAATTCAGCTGGTTTTAAGCAAATACATTTTAAATTATTGTGTGTCTCTGCTTTTGCCCACTTGCCACTGTAAAAAAAAAACCCTGTAGAACACAGAAAGCTCTTTCAGTCCTCCTGCACAGAGCACCTTTCTTTCCACTGGGGTCTCTAACTTTGACAGAATTAGCCTCGAATTAAACAAGATCTATCCTGGCCAGCAAAAAAAGGACTTCTGCTGGGGGACAGGATTCAGAAGTGCTCAATAACATCAGGATTTACAGACCAGTCAGAGCCCACAGCACCAGCTGCTATATGGATGGAGTAAACAGCCCCTGCTCCACAGATTTTTAAAAGCAGCAGCTAAAAGCAATAGGGAGAAGGAAGGGAATAATTAACCATATCATTATACCTCCATATAGTGTCTGATGGAAATTGCCATCTCTCAGTAAACTGATTTCCATTATGATTATCTGAGGATTGAGGGGAATGAGAGTTTATTTCATGCTTTCAAGAAAAAGCCTGGATTTACTTATGAGTGCAGCACATAGGTAGCAGAGATTGCAGCATTTGGGGAGCGATGATGGCCCTGTACAGTGTAATGAAGCATTAAAAAACAAGGAAAGCTGTTGCTGCAGTTCAGGAACAGATCAAAGGCCGGGAGCACCCCAGGAGTAAAAGGAGTAGCTGATAACAGGGTACAGTAACAGAGCTGATACATGGGTGCGACTCAACCCTGAAGCACCTTGCTGGTGCAGATAGCGAGCCTTGGAAATGAGTCACTGAGAGATCAAACGCACTGTAAATGGGACAACAGGGCTGTTCGTGCCAGCAGGCAGATGAGGTAGGAGAAATCCAAGGCTTTAGGCTGTCACAACCTTGAAGAACCTCTTCATATTTCTGAAAAATTAAGCCTTGTGTTTAAACCAAAAATATTCACATGCTTCCACCCCTCCTGCAGTCCCACCTGCAGGTCCCGAAGCACCACAATGAGGCCTCTCACTGGCCCAGGAGCTGCTGCCTCCCACCCAGAGCTGAGTTCCAGTTTCAGCTGCCCTTCGATCAGCACTTAATAATCTGCACGAAATGCCAGAATCTGCCAGAATAAGACATGGAGAAAACATGTGAAAATGCAACTGAAGCAATGGTAATGTTAAAGAAATTCAAAAAGGGGAAGAGGTTCTTCCATCACAGCCCCTCTGCCTAAATACCTCCAGATTTTTAGTCAGGATATTGACTTTCACCTCTCTCACCTCCAAACTCCTGCATGGGGCTGCTGGTGCCAAGCAGTTGCAGTGCTCTAGTACAAAACCCTGGCAGCAGGAACACAGCTTTGGGTTTCCAAATTGCTGAGAGCAAACAAGGTGCTGTTTTGACCAGGAGGCAGAGGTGCCTTTTAACAACAGGAGAGGGTTGTGGACCAGTCTTCTTTGACACAAACCATTTCTTGTGCTGATTTAAGCCTAGCACCACTCAGGCCAGTGTTGCTGTGGAACGGAGTAAAATAAAAAATAAAAGGCAACAGCTCTGTAAAATGGTTTCCATTTGGCAATTCTCTCCTCAGACTCCTTCCAACCTATTTTGTTTCACTAATTAGAGCTTTAAAAAAATCCTCCAAGATTCACAGACTTGTTTCTCAGGCTCCAATGCAGAATTTAGACAATAAGAAGCAGAAGAAGCAGGTCTTGCTTTAAAGGTCAACCTAATTCAAAAGGAATCTGCATAGGGCAAGGAGTTCCCTGTTGCTCTATCACATTGCACCACATCTCAGCATACACCAGGGAAATGCCAACTGCTTTTGTTTCTGGATATCAGATACACTCACACAGCACGGAGAACAGCCTTCACTCTCACAATACTGCGTGTTACTACAAGCTCTGTCAACACTGCCCTTAGTTAGGCTGAGGTAGTCTTTAAGTTGAGCATATCTCACCAGTGTTGGATTCACTGTACTGTCTTCTACCTGCCTAAACAACCTCCACGTTGCTCCCCTCCACAGCCTCTTGCTTGTTTGCACTGAATTCACACTCCTCGTCACAGCTCTACTGATTATGAGACTGCAAAGTCTGTGAATGTTGGGTTGGCATAACATCAGCTGTGGAACTCACAGAGTCACACCACGTCTCCCTGTAGCAGCGTGTTAACATCAATGCCTCTGTACCACAGAACTGAGGGATCCCTGTAAAGGGACCAGCAAGCAAGGCTGGCACAATTTGAGAACAAAATAAATGCACCCAAAGGCTATCCTGTAAAACCATGTGGTGTCTCACAGACTTGTTCAGTGCAACAAGAAGTTTCCATTTCAGATTATTTCATTTCTAAAATGTCAGTGCATGAGTTTGTCCCTGCAGAACTGGAGCTCTACAGTCTACAATTATGTCAGGTTTCCTCATCTAATTTGGCTGAAGGAGAGAGTGAGCATTCAAGCGTTTGCCTCTGGGTGGGTCTCTCAGGGTGCTGCTGCAGCTAGACACTGAATATCCTGTTTGTATCTTTCCTCCCCTTCACAAGCAGCTCAGCCAGAGCCTCTCCAGCATCAGAAATAATTCAGTCCTCGCAGTTCATCTGTAACTGAACTCACATGTCAACACGTCATTTATCTAAAAGGACAGTAAAGAACTGTAACCATAACAGGGAGAGAAATGATCTTTTGAAGAAGTGATTTTACCTACAACCACACACGTTAAAAATGGATTAGTCATAACTGCAGGTTTTTTCAGGGCTCTCTTCCAAATCTAACTCTATTGAATGGCTTCACTCTGCATTTCTGTATCTAAGTGCTTTCAGGTTGTTTTAAAGTTCAGCCTTAGCTGTCATTTCCCACAGCCTGTGTAGCTTGTTTCAGGAAGAATGAACAATCTCCTTGCAATTGTTTCATTTTCTAGCCCAGAGCTGTGGAGACCCACGAGATGGTCTGAGTTGAAGAGCTGAAAACAAACCTACACAGTGAAGCAGAGGGGGCAGATCTGCTCAGCCCTTGGAGTCAGCTCAGCTCCTTTCAGTTGTGTTTCCCTTAACATACTGTTCCACTCTTTCCACACTCACGTCATGCTGCTTCCATTCAAAGGAAACAGTATGAAACTTCATTTTTGTATTCAGGAGGCCAGCGGGTACTCAGCTTCTGCTGCAGGAAAACGGTCGTGGTTCAGCTCCTGTTCCCTTTGGATGCTGGAATAACAACAGGGACAGACTGGCTGGAGGAGACACAGCAACACCACAAGATCTGTTCACCTTCTTCCCTTCTTCTTCAGTCCCATGATAGTTTGTAGCAGTTGCAAAAAATAATACATGTTGAGGAGCTAATGATATCCCTCTGTCCCTCATAATGTTTTAAGATACCCATCTTAAAAGCACTGTATTAGAGCTAAATATTGTAATTATGATTACTAGAGTGCACGAGTCCCAGCTGGAAAACAGGGTAAACTGCCTCTTTGCAAATCACTGCTGACAGCAGGCTTGGCCTTGGCGGTTGCCCCAGCACAAATCTCCTTTCGTGCTAGCCAAAAGCTGTGAAGGCAGCAAAAATTCCTACTATAGATGAAGTCTAAAAGTATATTGCAGGAATCTGTCAGCTGGTGCTTGTGAACAGACTCACAAGACTGTGTTTGCTAAAATCTTTGTTTTGTGTGAGGCTGCACAGTTACCCAAGCAGTCAAAAGCATCTGTGCATCTACTTTGTTAGCTGTCATTGCAACTGTACTTTGCAGGGGGGTTACATAGTTTTTCACAATACAAATGTTTTTAACCTCCTCTGCTAAAAGCAACCAAACATCAATATATACATATAAAAAATGTGCTTTTCAATAATTCAGAGGGATTTGTGCTATCTGGTCCCCGAGGCACTTCTTTAAAACCCACCTATTACGTTTGGCTATAAATAAACCAGAAGCAGGAAACTGGATGAGACTGGGTGGGACATGGGATGGAAGGAAGGAAGGAAGGAAAGATAAAGTCATTCCAGAAAACCTAAATTAATTCTTTGCAATACTATACAGAAGCTGGGTTTCAAAATATCTCAGATATTCTTTCCTCAGATAGTGAAGAGATTCTCTGCCCCAACAGCCAGCTATACTAAGCAGCAAGTGCCTTGTCCATCCAAAACATAAGATTAGGGAAACCTTTGTAAACATGTTCCTCTTGTCAATGTTTAGTATGTCTAGGGGTACAGGGACAAGATACTTCTCCCCAGGAAGTCATCTTCTTGTCTTTCTTCATTGGGTGATGAGATTTCCTGCAAGACACCACCAATTGCTTTGCCGACTCTTCTGTTAGTCAAATTCAAGCCTATAAAAAAAAGCATTTACCCTGCAGCCTGTGGAGAGTGTTTCTGTTCATCTGGCAGATAGGACAGAAGCTCTTCTTATAATCATGAGATCCAACTATATTAGGTACCTAATCCCAAACCACTGACATCAATCAGAAAAAAAGAGCATTCTTCCCTTCTAAATGAAGGAGCTGGGATTCATACAGGCTCACACACACTCTTCATTCATGTAACAACTGCAAAGGAATTTTTTCTAGATACTGTAACCCCAGTTTTCATACAACTCCTTTGGTGCTTATGTACTATAGGGTGGTGGAGCCCTGTCATTAATTTTTTTCCTAATTTTCCATATTTTGTCATTATTTATAAACAGTAAGTTTTAGCTCATAGTAAGCTTCTCTCAGTAATATATTCCTATGGTACTTCTAACAAAATATGAGAAAGATACCCTTTAATCCTGAATAAAACATATATATGAAATCAAAGATTTGGGGGCAACACAATGAACTTTAAATTCTCTTCTACCATAGCCTCTGAGTATACATGTAACCATCATGGCTAGGACAGTACAACAAAGAAGGAAACAAAATCAGGGTGGCAAAGGATGTTTTCCAATTACATCTGAGATTATGGCTGGAATTCTGCAACAAATGTAAATAAAAAGGGAAACCTCCAAGTTCAACAAGCCAGGGAGTCACCTCTTAGTTTGGCCATGTGTATGTTCCACCAGAACAATACAGCTGTTTCCCTTTGAGGGGACATGCTGCATTCACTGTTTAAATAATGAGAGAGCTGTAAACACAGGACTGGCTTCGACACAAGCTTATGAAGAAAAGCATAAAAGCATTTTCAGTTAAAGACAAATTATTCAAACACTCCTAGAGAAATATATCTGCAGAAATCATTGCAATTGTCCATCAAACTCCATTTTTAGGCTACATGGCCACATCATGGTCAAGCAAAAAGCCAGGTTCATTGTCACAGCATGACCACTTACTCTAACGTTTTTTTCTGTTCAAAAGTATCTGCTTTCTGTAACACGGGGGTTCCTCGTATCTGGACATGTTTCAGGATACACATATGATGCAGTCATGTATTACTTCCACGAAGTAATACAATCAAATAACTAGTAAACGTGTGTCACATCAAACTGACAACTCCACAGGTACAAACTCCAACTTATCAAAAGGCTGATCTTGAGGAGATTTGTTCCCTTCTTCAATTTCCTTACTGCCCTTGTCTCCTTGCATCTCCTGGTGCCCCATAGGGAAAGACTCACTTTCTGCTTTCCTTGTTCTCAGTTAGACAAGTTTGCTGTGCTTCCATCTGCAACTTTTCTCAAACTGACAATGCATAAAAAACATTTGCAAACTGGGACATCCACGCTGAATAATATCTAGAAAAGGATGCACCCATTCCTTCACTAGGCTGGAATGTGTGATCTTTTACTTTAAGCAGTCCCAAGAGAGATGTTGTCAGTGAGGTCTGTAAAATCTAACTTGAGGATCAGTACCCCTCATCATCAGTAATGCTGAGCTGCTGTGCCCAAGTGTTATTCCTATATACTGGTAAATTCAAACTCCCTTTAAACATCATTCAGAACAAGTGGACTACAGAGTATAGGAAACTTAATGTTAAAGCAGTCTCTTTTTCCTCGGTCACCTGGGATTACAGTCAGTTCCTCCATCACTTTTGGGAGTTTTCAATAGTTACCTCAGCACAAATTACAGGGGCACTTCCTTGAAATAAATCTAAAAGCAATAATGACATCTAATAAATATCTTACTTTTTCCTACAAATTTCTTCCATTAGCAAGGTAAAATTATGCCAACTGACTTCACCAGGCTGTGAGGATTAAACCATCATTTATAATATCCTTTAAAAATGAGAAAGTGTCTTTTAAATGCTAGTCACATGAGTAAGCAGTGAGTCAATATTCTGCATATTAACTGAATGCATTTGAAGTGTTGGAGTTTTTCTGAAGCCTGCCAAGACTGAGCCATAACAATTTCTTTTATAACTGGAGATCAGCCTGAATGAAAGACCTTCCTTAGATACAGAAGCTGAAGATCAGAGTCATATGCACATTACCTCCATTCCACTGATGTCAGCCTAGAGAAATGTCAGCCTAGAGAAAAAGAATCAGAGAGATGAATAAGCAAGATGAAGGAGCTGTGATTACCTTTTGGGTCATATAAAGAATATGAGATCACTCCAATCTAAAAATTAATCCAAAACCTTGCCTGTCCAACAGACTGATCTACCAGTCTACAGACAAACTCTGGAGCAGAGTCCAACACTGAGCCCTGAAAGTTCATGTTAGAGACCTAAATACTGTTGGTGTGCCCTACACTTGAAAGTTTCCTTTTATGATAAATGTTATTTGTATCTGAGACTTCAGACAGTGGTTTCTAGATTCCTAACCCCTGTGCCTTCAGTAATGTCAGCCACTGTTAACACAAAATAGTTTGCCTGAAAATACGTGCCTTCAAAGACAAATGTGTACATGCAGATACCAACAGTGATCTTAACAAATCTTTTATCTGTTTCCTCCTTCCTCTTCTTTGAATATAGAAAAGACGTTGTTACAACAAGGTGATAAATTTTACTTGGGAGAGTACCAGGAGATCCAGATCCAGAACTACTGACTTTTGTGCTCTACAGGAGTTCATCAAGCATGTTAACTTACTCTCTGCTTTGGGCACTAGAATTTTTTTTTCTTGATTGTGCCTTGCTTCATTTTGTGTGGCTTTGCATCTCTCCTTGTTATATTATCATAGAATCCTAGAATGGTTTCAGTTGAAAGGGACCTTAAAGCTCATTTCATTCCAACCCCCTGCCATGGGCAGGGACACCTTCCACTATCCTGGGTTGCCCCAAGCCCCATCCAACCTGGCCTTGAACACCTCCAGGGATGGGGCAGCCACAGCTTCACTGGACAACCTGTGCCAGAACCTCACCACCCTCACAGGGAAGAATTTCTTCCTGATATTACATGCTTAAAGAACATATTTCTAGAGAGAAATAAGGTGGAAACTGGAGGGCTGGCAGCAGTGAGACGATAACTCGATGGTGTGCTGCCGGGAGCCAGAGCATCTCCCCCAGTACTCCCAGCTGCCCACGGATACCAGCCTTGCCCACCCTCTCCTCACCCCCCGGGCCTGTCGTGTTCTGCTGTGACAGCCTCACCGCCCCACCGGCACCTGTCCGCTAAAAGAGCCGTGATTAGCGGCAGTATCACCGGCACCGGCGGGAGGTGTGGCGGGCAGCCCACACCTGACATTCCACCCTCGACATCCCACTCCCCGCAGCGTTCCCCTGGCAGTCCGGCCCGGCCGTGAGGAACCGCCAGGTCCCAGTGCCAGTGCCAGTGCCGGTGTCGGTCTCGGCGCCGGTCCCCGTTCCGCCGGTCCTCTGTCCCCCGACGCGGTCCCGATCCTGGTCCCGGTTCCGGTCCCGGTCGGGGTCCAGGTCCAAGTCCAGGTCCCCGGGCCCCGTCCCCACTCCCAGTCCCGCTACCGATCCCGGTACCGTTCCCAAACCGCATCTACGGACCCGGGCCCGGGCGCCACCCCTATCGCTGGTCCCAGTTCCCGTCCCTATCCACATCTCAGGTCCCAGACCTGATCCCCATTCCCATCCCCGTCCCCGTCCTCATCCCGCGTCCCCGTCCTCATCCCGCGTCCCCGTCCTCATCCCGCGTCCCCGTTCTCATCCCCCGTCCTCGTCCCCGTTCTCATCCCCCGTCCTCATCCCCCGTCCCCATCCTGATCCCGGTCCCCATCCCCGGTCCCTATCTCCGTCCCGGTCCCGGTCCCCATCCCCGTCCCCATTTCCATTCCCATTCCCAGGCCCCATCCCCGTTCCCGATCCCACTCCCACTCCCCGGCACGGGCGCCCGCCCTCACGTGACCCCTTGACCACGCCTCCTTCCCACGCCGGTCCATTCATGCCCCCACACCTCCCCCCCTCAAACCCCTCCGTGTCACGTGACGCGGGCCCCGCGTGCGCTCCCCGGGCCGGGGCTTCGCCGCCGCTTCCGGGCCGGGGCGGGGCGGGGGCGCGCGGGGGGGGCGG